CAGACTCTGTTGGTGTGCGCAAGATGGAATCGGGAAAGCTAGGAAGAGGAGAGGTAAGATAGGACTGATGAGCAACGGCACGTGTGAGAGTGCGCACTGAAGTCAGGCAGTACTAAGGATATTTATTATTCTAAATGTCTGAAAAACATTTAGTAACAAAATTGTTATTATTGAAATTTCCTGGATTAGGGAGAGAGGTCTTAAAGAATAATTCCTTATATTCTACTTTTGATAAATGTGGAGAAGATGGAACCAGCTACCAAGAGAGCAAACGGAAGATGAGAAGCTAGTGTGTGTGTCGTTTGGTTTGGAGGGGGAGAGAGAGGGAAAAGGAAGAAGGGAGGCAAGAATATGATTTTATTTAACACGAGTTGATTTTGAGGATCGGGTAGTGGAGATATACAATACCAATGCTGCAGACAGAGGTTTGAGAACTTTGGGAAGCATTAGCATCGGAAAGGATGTGAGATTTTCTCGCACAGGGCAGTCCTTGAAAGATGAAATCTGGAGAACACCAGCAGAGTTTTCTTTCTGAGGCCTGTCTGTTGTTACTACTATTACGAAAAGAACAACCTTTAGTATGTGCGTGTGTATGTGTGCGTGTGTGTGTCTGTTTGAGAGAAGAAATAAGTGGATAATTATAATACAGTATTAACTGTTTTTAATGGAAATGTTTTACTTTTTCCTTCCCCAAAATAAAGGAAAAGATATTTAAGATAATATGTTTGAAAATTATTGCCTTATTTTAACCCCACTATAATCTAAGACTATACCAATATTTCAAACTTATTCTATAAACTATGGGTGCAATATTGGTCTTTCCTAAGTAACAATAAGTAACTCACTGTTTTATTTCCTACTAAACAAATGAATTTTAATCCTAACTTTATTGTTTGAAAAATGGGATGAGATTAAGGAACAATTGAAGCAACATGATTAGTAAACTGGGTCAGAGAGAGTTAGCATCCTGAATTTAGAATCAAGATTTGTGAACCGACCCCATAGGGCCTCACCTCGGAGTCAGAGCTGTCCAGTTCAGCCAGAGTTGGAGCTTTGAGAAGCTTCTTCCGCTGCGCTGGCACCTGCTGTGCCACACGTAACCCATTCTCTTTCGTTTGTGACGTTAAACCTCCATTCAGCATTGATGCTTCCACAATGTTCTTTGGAGATTGAGGAGTAGTGACATCTGGTGAAAGAAAGTAGAAAGCTTACCTTTTCTTGAGCCAAGAAAGGTAATCAGTGGACCACACCTACTTTCCCACGTACCTGCACTCGGAAACACACACTAGGTGACAAGGCATGTCTATGTCACGCAAATACAACACAGAGGATTGATAAAATAATGCCTATATGTAAAAAATATTTTTGTTAGACATTAACTGTTGGATTCAATTAACGGAAATTTTTAACTGACTAATATAGTCACACCTATAGATTAGAATTTAGAGCTGGAAAAAATCCTACAAATAGCTGATTTCAACTTCCTTATTTTTCAGTGGCCCAGAGAGGCTAAGTTTTACTCTATAGACTCAAAAGAGCTAGTGATAGATGGATCCAAGTGATGGCATGCATAAAACCTTGTGAGGCATATGGCTGTAAGATATGAAAATGGTTTGATTTAAAATAGCTAATAATCTATATTCATATAAACATGAACACAAAGAATCTGGGATTCCCTCTGATGAAGCTGATTTAGATTATTCAGAGCTTAAGCTTGGATGGGAAGGCAATATAACAAATGAAAAAACTGCAGCAGTACAGGGCAGAGTGTAGAGTACAGAGTACAGAATACAGAGCACAGACTACAGAGTACACAGTGTATAGCTTATAGAGCACAGAGTTTACAGTAGAGTACAGAGTATAGAGTATACAGTACAGTAAGATGCAGAGGGTTTTGGTTCAAAGTCTAGCTCTGCTGCTAGTTACCTAACTTCTTGTTTCTTCATCTGTAAAATGTGCTAAAAACAGACATGGGTTTGTTGTGAGGATTAAATTATCAACTGCATATAAAATACTTAATGCTGTGTATAATAAAGGCAGTGCACAATGCATGTTAGCAATTATTAACACTGAGTTGTACCTCCATTAGCAAGTAAGTAACTAAGGCTCAGAGTGATTTAGCCACAGCTAGTATATAGCAGAGCTGATAACTGAATCTTGTTAGTATTCATTATAAAGGCCAATTTTTTTTGGTACTATAGCTTGTAATCTTCCAATGAAAGTGGAACTAATGTTCTTCAGTATTTCAAATGAAGTGTTAAACATGAACTAAGTTTAATAACTACTAAATTAGAATATTTAAAAGTAAGAAAAAGCAGTTACTGCATAATTTAAGTTTTGGACTAGCGCCATGGACTGATTTGTGCATATGGAACAGTCTACGAAGGCCCTGTAGTTGAAGAGAAAGGGTACATTAGGCACTAAAGTGAAAAAGACATGTCCTTTAGGAGGGGAAGGCATTGTAACTGAAGTTATTATAAAATATAAGAATGTCCTATTTATAGTAGCTTCCTCTCCGACCTTTCTATGCTTGAAGTATAAGAAGTAGATGTCCAGGAAACATTCAGTATATAAGTGTGTTCTAATATAGCCTTCCTTGACATTGTTTAAAAGAATCATGTAAATTACTTATTATAAATGATGCATATCTAATTTAGTATTTACAATTTCTTCTTATTTTTAAGAGATCAAGAAGGCCAAAGAACATGCCCTTATGGACTGAGTAAGTAAGGAAGAAAGGAGGAAAGGAAAAAAAGAAGGAAAAAGACAGACATACCTGTTAATCATTTATCATTTTACATAAAATTTGTAATAAAAAACTTGACAACACATACTTTTTTATTTTTACCTTTTTTTTTTTTCTGTGTGTAATAAAGGCAGCGCACTATGCATGTTAGCATTTTTTATTACCTTTCCTGGTATTAAGTAACTTGAACAAACATATAATTGGGGAAGGAGGTATAATACTGAAGAAGATGAAAAGGCAAAAACGGGAAGTTTTTACACAAATTATAAAGGTTAAAATCTTTAAATAAATCTTTCATAAAGAGGTGTAGAAAGCAGTAGGCTGCCACACTTAGGAGAGTAATTTAAAAGTTTCCAGAAAGCAAAGGAGGAAATGGTTGGGCTAATTGATTAATTCTTATTCAAGAAAAAAGGTAGTGTTTAAATATAGTCTTGAAGTATATTTTAAAAAATCTTATTCTATAGTGTGTATTATTTTATGCACTTCCTATAGAAATGTTCACGTTGTTGTAGTAGTCTTTCAACAGAAAGCACAAAGTTAAAATTACACACATCTACCCACCCCTCTCAGCTAACCATATTCCAGGCAAGGCTCCCAAACCAGATGTAAAGTGAGAAAAAGAACAGACTCAGATTCCCAGGGCTCAAGTTCCTACTCTACCAGGTCAGAGCTTCCCTAACGGGGAAACTACCAGTAGTGCATAGAGGAACAATGAAACAGTTTAATGGCTATATATTTATTATAATGTTTCAGAAAAAAAAATTACCAAATCAGACATATGATTTTATGGATGTTTCTGCTTAAGACATTTTAAAAAGTCATTTATGGTAGATTAAAAAAATTTAAATAGTACTGGTGACAAGAACTTAAGTCTGGCAAAAATCATGAGGGTATTATCTGAACTGAAGTTTAGAAAAAACTGTCAAATGACATGAGGTGATTTCATATAAGTTCATTTCATTCTCAATGCAGGGGATTTGAGAAATTACCAAATAGCTCTCTAATTGCCTAAACATTGTATTTGAGCTCACTGACTGAGACTAGCAAAATAAACACTTGTACTAAATTGAAAGTTTTGAGACAAATGGAATTAATAAAAAATATGCTATGTAAGTCAGGTATCAGAATAATCTCCACATATAAGACTAATACTATTTGTGATTTCATTACATATTACATATTTGTGAAAGACCCAGTTGAACATATTTTTAAGAGATTTTTTAAGTAGATTGATTATTCTTTTCTGTTCAAATGAATAAATCCTCATTATTGTTTCAGTGTATCAAGTGAGAAAACCAAATATTTAGATAAGGCTTTGTACTTCTATAAGACAGAACTTCTTGAGAAAAAACTGGTGATATTTATAAGTAAGCAAAATATTTAAGATGCTAGACATGGTTTTAGAGGTCACATATCTCTAAGGTCACATATCTCTAGAGGTCACAGGTTCAGAATCTAAAATGCATAACCATAATATTAAATAATTTATGTACTAAATTTATGTGTTAGATATACCAGCTGCTGCCTTATTTAGTTGGAAGAAATATAACTGGGGTACAGATTAAATATTTAATATTTGCATTGGATAAAGAAATTATACTTACCTTAATTAATATTGAATGAATTTTTAAGATTTTCCACTAAGAAATAATATTTCTAATACACATCTAAGCAACTTATTATGACTTATTCTAAACTTAAGTTTAGAGGCATTATCTATATTACATGTTTAAATATTTACTCCTTGGTTCTTTAATTTTTCAGCTTAGAGAAGAAATGCATTCTAATCTTTGCATTGAGGTTAGAAGAATGTATAAATATTTTTCAATTATAATTGGGACATTTTAATTGATTAGTTAAAATGCTATGATAAAAACATAAAAGTAGCACAAGAAATCGAGAATGAAGTATATGGAAATCGTGAAGTACAGTAAGGTACAAAATAAATTATAGCAAACGATAAGTGTGAAAGCAAATAAAAATGTTTTGCTACTCTTTTATATCAAGGGAGTTAAGTACCAATAGCCTTCTTCCCAACACAGAACCCATCATATAACCTATAAGAAGACAAAATACACCTATATATAATGTATGTGTGGGCATGCAAACTGTCTAGATCAGCCACCTGTGCCTAATTTGTGTTTAGGTAGCCAGCCACTCCCATACAGTCCAAATGAAGGAAACATCTTTAGTAGATATTTAGGGGAGAGAGTCTGTAATATATATCGCCAACTTTTGGAGATTAGCAGTAACGTATATCTTCCAAAACATTTCTGAGTTTATTTTCCAGACCAATTTTTTAAACAAGATTACTCTGAAAATGGTTGATAAAATAAAAAACATTTCAAATGGGTAAAGAAAATAGAAAAAGCTCTTCAGTGGTCAGTCAAAAGTAGTAGTCATGCCTGAGATCCATAAATATGAACAGAAACTTAAAAAACAGTTGGGAACTAGTTTAGCAGTTGAAAGATACTCAGTAAATATTCATAGACAGACTATGATACTAGACCTCTCTGGCTCTTTAAATATGAACTTGCATGCCAACAATTCCATGGCATATAAAAGAAAATTCTGGAAGAAAATATTAGTCCCAACATGTCTCATTTTATGGCAGCTTCCAAATTTAAAAATTCTAATTTGCAAAATAATTTATTGGGATTGAATTGGCTTGGAAAAATCGCTCATATACAGTTTAAAAACTCAAATTAAAAAGAGGGCTGATTTTACGGATCAAATTTCGTCACTAATAGTTACTTGTTTCACTACTAATCTCTGTCTACTTAACAGAAGTGGTCTAAACTTGTACTACAAACCAAGGACACATATTACAACCAAAGCTGTTACAATGCTGTTCTGTTTTTATATTCTACCAGCGGTCCCCAACCTTTTTGGCACCAGGGACCAGTGCTGTTATGAGAATCTAATGCCTGATGATCTGAGGTGGAGCCGAGGCTGTGACACTACTGCTGGGGAGCAGCTGCAAATACAAATGAAGCTTTGCTCCCTTGCCATCCACTCACCTGCTTGTGGCCTTGTTCCTAATAGGCCACAGACCAGTACCAGTTTGTGGCCTAGGGGCTGGGGACCCCTGCGCTAAATCAGCACTCAGAATCATTTGCGACTGGGCTCTATCTACAGGGAGCAAAGTGTTAGAAAAGCTATCTCTTGCCCATCAACTGAGGAGCAGTAGTCCTCTAAAGTAGCTGTGTAGTTAATTAAATGCTTTAAAAAAGAACAAAAGCCAAAACTTTGTTTCTTGAAAGTTTTTCCTATTCTCTCAGGCGAAGTTCTGTTTTAGATTTTGACATTATTGCTTTAGAAGAGTGTGGGTGAGTGACAACAACTATAAGGATCGGCAGCCATATTCTATAACCATAGGTATGGCATAACAGTTCTTCCACAGTCCCTTGGTAGGCAACAAATTTATTGCAGTTTTAATTTTTTAAAAGTATATTGTTTTCCAATAACCAGAAAGTTTTATTTTTCTGACCATAGCTTAGAAGAAGCCTTTTAATTTTCTTTTTTGACATGTTTAAACAAGCAGATGAATGAAATGTATTTCATGGAAACCACGAAATCCATGTCAGGTGTGAAAGTGCTTTTTTTTTTTACCTGACAAGTCAAAACTGTAAGACATGCTAAGTGGCCGCACTGCTGAAAAAAGAAAACAAAAATAAAAAGAAAATAATTCAGCTGTTAGGAATATACAAGGAGAGCGAAAAATGGGGGAAGATTCAACAAGAGCAATAGTGGCACATTTCAGACTTTAAGGCAGAAGGCAGTGAATAAAAATCTAAAATATAATGAAACCATGAGTCTTAGTTTCAATTCTATCACTAAGACTTGAAATGGAGTAACAATAAAAGAAAAACAAAAACTTTTAAAGAACACGTTCAAAATAAAAGCATGATAAAGATACAAACATTTTAAAGAATCATAGGATAGGATTTTTGACTTAAATATAAAATGTATTAAAAGAAAAAAATAGTCATGTTTAAAAACATGGTTTCAGGGAACATACAAAATCTTTAAATTTAAGGATAAATATGTTCTTATAAAATTAATTCAGGATGAAAATTTGGCTTTCTCCTTAAAGGTGAAATATTTTATTTAAAAATCTCATTCAAGAACTAGCAGCATTACAATATGTCAATAAACTGTCTATTGTAGGCAGTATAACCTAGTAGTTGAAAAGAGGACTCAGGAGCCAGAATGCCTAAATTTGAATCTGAGCTCTGCCACTTACTAGCAGTGTGATTCCGGGCAAGTTACTTAACCTCTCTGTGCTTCAGTTACTTCATCTGTAAAATGGTAATAGCAGTACTTCATGGGATTGTTATGAAGGTTAAATGATTTCATACAAAAAAAAAAGGTGCTCGGAACAGTGCTTGGCACATAGTTAATTTCTATTGTTTGCAGTAATGGTTATACAACTGTGAATATACTAAAAACCATTGAATTGTATACTTTAAATGGGTGAATTTTATGGTAGGTAAATTATACCTCAATAAAAATGCTTTAAAAAATGTTATTACAAAGATTTGATGAATTTGCATATTCATGACAGTGAGAATTATCTATTTTCACTACAGCCCAAAATTCTTACCAGGACTGTCTATTCTATGACTCAGGCTCAGGGAGGACAGGCACCTTTGTAGTCATAAGAGAACAGAACTTCAGGGCTAGTGGGGAGAGAAGGACAGGCATATCAGGCAGAATATCTCCCCAGGTCATTCCAGGTAGACTGCCTATGGAGTTCTAACACTCAAATTTAATAGAATGCAAGTATCTCTCAATATGTTTTTTGGCAGATGCTTTGAAAGGAACAACTTATATTTACAACTCAAAGTCTCAATATAGTATTAAAAACATGATGTGAAGGAAAAGCATTGAGTTACATCCCAAACACAACTTAGCAAGATGTCAGAATCATATGTAGATGTGTTTTAAAAAGCACTTGTGTCAACAAAGGGGATGTGAATCTTAAATGGGACAAAAAAAGGAACTATTTGTTTACAATCATACTATTGTTTGATCAGGAAATAATATTTTAGATATTTCATCCTAATATAAAATTAGAATGTAACTTTTAAATAAGCATTTTACTGTTTTGTCTTGTAGAAAAGTGGTTTAGGGATTTTGTGTTGATGAGAATAATCCTCCATGCACCATTAAAAAATTTCTGCATTTCTAAACTCAAATACTATCAACTCTAGGTTTCTCTAATTATGTATAGCAAATAAAATACTACATATTCTCAAAGCACTCATCTCTATTCTCTAATACCTTCTTATTCCACTCTTCTCTGATACATGAATAGATCTTCTGAAATAAGACTGACTACTGCATAAGAAAGAGATGCTACTGTTTTCTGGAAGATGAGTTTCAGATTTTTCCCAAGCTCTGTATACAACAAAGAAGACAACAACTGAGCATCACAGCAATTAAGGCGTTTAGCAAAAAGATGCTTTTAAAGGAACAATTTATATTTAAAATCCCAAATCTCAATACACTATGAGATGTTAGGAAAAAGAAAATGATCAAATATGAACAAAGACTATGTACAACAAGAGTAATTTCAGACTTAATAGGAAAAAAATTTTGAAATAGTCTGTAAAACAATAGCGAAATAGGTAAAAAACAAAACAAAACAAACCCCCCCCCACAATTTAGACATATGGAAGGATATCATATCCTTATAAATAATGTTTTGAATCATACTTAATGGCATGGGAAGATGTTCATTCACATACAATGTCAAATGACGAGGAAAATACTGTACATACAGTTTTCATTTTATAATATACAAGTAGATTTGCAGTGAATGCCTAACCTAACCTGACCGAACTCTCCAAAGCAAAATGGTATAGTAAAAATCAATACACAGAAATAATGAGCCCAAATCCTTTACTGTCCAATTAAACTACTACCCTACAATACCATTTTCTTATTTTTCCATAGTAGTTCTCTCTTTTCTCAAGAAAAATGCACATACATGCACTTTTTGAAATTTGCATAATTTTTTTATATTTCAGGGGATTCAGAGATCCTCCTCAGGCCCATTCAAGGACTCCCAGAATTAGAACTCTTGGTTCACACGGTTTATATGTTTTGGCTCATTATTATATAAATGTTCATATGAATTTGTCACTTTGAATGCTTTAAACATAATTTTTAAGAGACAACACTTGCTGCCATAAAAATTGGACAGGGATAAACTGAAACAACTTTTACTTTGTAGCTTTGTAACTGCAAGGTACATTCAAAGATTTCAACACCTATGATAGTATTTTTTTACAGCTTCGTCCCTATACTAGGGACTGGGGACACAATAAAATGGACTTGGCCCTGCCATCATGAAGGTCACAATGTAACGGAAGGGCCAAAAGTCAAAGGATATCAATAGGGAGTGAAGGAAGAGTGCAGACCAGGAAGCAGGGAAAGCAGTCAGAGCTGATGCAATAAACTAAACAAGAAAAGATGACAGCCTGGGTCAGGATAGTGGCTGTTGGGCTAAAGAGTGGAAGACCAGGAAGATTCAGAAGTAAAACTAACAGGCTTGGCTGATAAAAGTCAAAGATGATGCTGAGGTTTCTTTCTTGAGCACACTGAGATGGGGAAACAGGAGCAGATGGTTTGGGGAGAAACCAGATGAGTTCACTTGAGGACTTGTTGAGCTTGTCTTGCTTGTAGAATATGAGAAGGCCCTATCTAGCAGACAGATAAATGTATGGGTCTGAACTTTTAGAGAAATCTGTACTGTAGACTGGGAACTGGAAGATAGTCAGAAACAAAAGCCATGGTAAAGGGTGTGTGGTTGCACAGGAAAAAGTGAGCCCAAGATAGAAACTTGAAGTACCAAAAAGAGTCTGAAAGAGGTAGTAAAAGAGATCAGAGGAGAAAACTAGGGAGAGTGTGGTGTCACAGAACCGATTCCTTTCCTGTTCAGGTGCCATTATAATCTATTTTCCTAACGGAAGTTTCTCTGAATTCTTTGAGCATCTTACAAATTGAAGGAGAGCTGTAGAAACAAAATGCTTACAAACATTTTATAATATGGTCTATCTATAAATAAAGATCAATGTGTGCTCATAGTATACATTAAAAACATTAAATATAATAAATAAAAATGAAGTTTGAGAATAAGTTAAGTGATATCAGATAATTGATGCTTTCATTACATAATACCATATCTTTAAACCCATATTTAAGACAACAGAAACTTAAAACTATATATCTATGATCTATATTTCTAAAATATAATTACTTATTTTTGCACATTACAATTTATAAAGTATTTTGACCAAAGTCTTATTTAATCCTTACATAAAAGCCATATTATAGGTTTAGAGAAATTTTTACGTCCTTCTGCTGACAAAGAAACCAATGCTCCAAGAGATGAAGACACTCTCCTAAAACCACAGTCTACAGAGATTGGCAGAATTCTTTCCACTATGCTATGATGCTCTTGCATAGCTCAGTATTATATAGGAAAGTATTAAGTAAGTGTGAGGGTGTGTGTGTGTCCATGTGTGTGTGTGTATATTAAGTAAGTGTGAGGGTGTGTGTGTGTCGATGTGTGTGTGTGAGAGAGCAGAGAAAGAGAGAGAGGGAGGGAGGGAGAGAGAGAGAGAGAAATGAACAAGGAATGAGAACTGCATGGACTACCCTGACTTTGCACCATTATATCATTATTTTTCACTGGGATGGTTGTATAAAGACACTTTTTCAAGTGGACGACTCTAGAACAGGAGCGTGGTAAGCAGCTGACTCACCTAATCTGCTATGTCTAATCTCTTCTGGTGAGACAGGCCGCAGCTTCCTTTCTGCTTTGATTTCTTCTAATATTCTTTCATGTAGGCTCCGTGGCCGTGGTGGGGTGGGTTTCAGTTTTCTGGCTGAGGCCTTAAAAAAAAATCATAATGGTTGGAGACTTTGAGTAGTTGTTCTTAAATAATTTTTACTAAAGTCCATTCATAGTATAGTATTATGAAACTACATTGTATTGATGGCATCACTGCTTGATAAAAGACTATTTTCAAGTCATTATCAAGATTTCTAAACAATAGGGAGATTATTGAATTTCACCAGGATTTAGTCATATGTGCTCAACTAATTTAAATGAAACAATTTTGCTAAAGTTATAATTATGTTTCCTATTCGTAAGCATGATAGGCAATCAACTGAAATGCAATCTATACTTTATCTAATACTATTATTGTTTTGAAACTAATATTTTTGAGTAAGTCATCACAACCTTCTTAGATTATTACTATTATTTTCATTCTATAGCTGAAGAAATAAACGCTCTGGTAGGCTAATTAACTTGCTCAGAATCAAGTGGCTGCTAAACTTTGGAGCTAGTGTAGAAATCCAGGTTCACCTGTCATGACCTGCCTTCTTAAAATCATTTCACAGATGGACTCTTTCTCTTCTTTTAAAAAGATTTATAAAAGGGGTCATTAATCATGCTTTAGATGTAAAACACTGGGACAGAAATACCATTCCCTTTCCAGTTAATGAATGTACACAGGTTTGAGAGGCTTTGGTGAGCACTGGCTATCAAGCCAAGAAGAAAAGAAGTGAAGAACAGAGAAACAAAACTAATATTCATCCAGATTAGAATATTCTCACTCCACGGTCACCAGAAAATACTCTGGTAAGATAGGAAGATAATTAATATAAAAGTGGATGTACAACAGAGTGGGTTTATTGTAAAATAGTATCCAAATGACAATTTAATCAAGGAGGTTATTAGCACTACAGAGTAAACTGGAAGGAGAGCCCACACTAGGAACAACTTGGTATTATATTTAGCCATTATTTTAGGAGGTATTTGTCCAGATTTTGTACCATAATTCAGGATGTTTTGAGTTAAAACATCCTAAGACAGCCTTGTAATGAATAAATTTTAAGTATTTTTTTGTGACTTAAATGTAATTCACAGTTGGGCTTCATCATTCTGAGAGTAAAAGCTCAGGGTAAAAACTAACCACTTTAAGAGCCAAGTTCTAGAGATCACACCCTAGAGGAGAATAATGCATTCTGTGAACTCCAATCAAGAGGAATATGTCAAATTACATACTGGATTTAAAGGAGGTCTTGATCTGATGAAGTCCAGGATGATTTCATGAGCACTTTTTTTTAACCGAGGAGGAATATCGCCATTTACCTGAAAAAAGAAAAAACAAAATTCTCTGACTATAGGATTATATTATAAATTTCTAGGTACAGCTGTTATCTCAACATGTCACAAAATTACTGAAGTAATTTGTATTGTAGTAATGTAATCTGGCTCTACCAAGGGCACATTTAAAATCATTAAAATGAGAGTAAATGACTGTGCAATTTAGAGCAAAAATAACTACTGTCAAAACTGAAAAAATTCCAGGTTCACTTTAGTTCTATGATTTGGGGAAATTATATATAAGATACATCCTTTCCAACAAGTTTCTAAAGTTATAAATGTGAATGAAATCAATAATATTATGCTTATTGATTATTTTATAATTTAAAAAGACTTTTACCTCTTATTTTCATCTTTGTATAAGACCTAGTTAACAGGAAGGACTGGTGCTGTGATTCACATTCACACAGATAAAACTCAGCTCAGAGCAAAGATGGTATCTGCTACAAAGAACTAGTAAGTAGAAGAGTTTCTTTAGAGCCCAGGTCTATCTCTGACTCCTGCTCTTTATGTGTTACAAAAAATATTTTCAAGAAATTTAAGAAAGCCCCAGAAACCTACACTCAAAAAATAACAACCTAGCCTCACATTCTGAATACTTAGAAGGCACAGTTGTAACTATTTTGTCTTGTTTATTTCCTAGTCTTATATAAAAAAAACTCTATAACACTTTCCCTCCTCTACTCTGGCACCTTATTCTTTGATTACTTCCTTATATTCTAATAATTCTGCAATATAAATCTTACTGAAGAGGAGAAAAAGACAATTTGGTTATTTTTCTAACATCATGGTTGATTTTTTAAATTTTGACAGGTTAGATGTTTCTATATGCTTCACAATTTGTTATTGAAAACGTCATGTAAAATTTTAGAATTATTATAAAATTTGATTAAACCTTTTTCAAGTATTTTCTAATGGGAACACTATTTTAACGATCAGTTGGTCGTTAATTATAAGTTTTGATTTTTTTGTCAATGTCACTATTTTGTGTCAACTAAGAAATAAAGTTAAATTAAAAAATAAAAAAAGTACTTCAATGCTGCTCCCAGGCCCAGTCCCCTCCCCAACTGAGATCACCCTATCTAAGTTCAGGGTGTTTGACCAGCCTTTTGGACCCCACACAACATCCACTCCCCTCTTCTTCCCTATGCCCCACCTCCCAGCCCTGAATGAGGCAGGAACACCCTCTGGCAAGATTAAGGAGAAAAAACTGCTTGAGGCCAGCCATGCTTGTGACTGCTGGTACCTGGTTTAAGGAGGGCATGCAACCAGCAGCAGAGCTGGAGGCCTATGTGGTGTGATCCCTACCTGTGGATTTCATGTTACATAAGATACTTTCTAAATATCCTTATTCTATAAAAACAATTTACTCAGACTTTTCTATTATTTTCTATTCTACCTCCTGAACAGGATATTATATAATTTTCTAGCCATTTTTCATATGCTTTTACTTTAATGTTCTTTCCATCACAACAGCAGAGTTGAGAGAATGGATTAAATAAAGCCAAGGTTCTAAGTTCCATCCCCAAACAAGTGCATTAACTTCAATTTCCTCACTAGTCAGAAACTGTATCCTGGATTCCAATTAGAAAATGTGCATCAGTGCTCACAAGGGAGATGCCAGGACCGTATGGATGTGTCAGTGAGTCTTTACTTGCGGGAAGAAAAGTAACTTTGTGCAGATACCATTCTTCTGCTGGGTCAGTGAAATAATATACTTTCATATAAATACAGAACACGAGTAGAAACAAGCTCTCTGAGCTGCAATGGTAAATAATTTCTAGATGAACACAAATAGTAGACCCAGAAGTAAATAAGATTAGTTATAGAAATCGATCCTTTGAACCACATGCCTTAAATGGATAACTTCTAAACAGATGTTAAATTCCTACATCTTTATTTTTAAAGGTGAGTTATTTGAAGTTATCTGTTAGAATTAAAACATTTTACTCATTTGAAAAAAGTCAACTGAAATGTTTTACACTTCTATAACTTAATATTCTGAATAATAATCGACATGGCTAAGCCATTCAATTCCTACCATCATCACCACAAATATACAGAAAAAAAAAAAAGGATTACTATGGTATAGTTATGTAGCTTTTTAAATTTATTTTTATTTATTATTTATTATTATTTATGCCTACAGCACCTGGTCTTCTAAGGTGGTCTCCCACCCAAGTACTAACCAGGCCTGACCCTGCTTAGCTTCCAAGATCAGACATCAGGCTTGTTCAGGGTGGCATGGCCGTAGACCATGGGCCATCGCTCCACTGGGGCATGAATCCAGGACCTTCTGAGTGTAAAGCAGACATGCTAACTGTTACACTTTGGAACCACGTCCTATAGTTATGTAGTTTAAACTGGAGGATGAAATTAAAAACATCTCAACAAAGTGCTTCAGGTACAAATGAACCATGAGTGAAAAACCTTTGTATTTACTCTTTACAAAAATATGTATTTAAAGAAATTAGAAAGTGGCACTATATTGATAACAGTAAAACATTTTTTAATACCCAATTTTTGAATGATTAAGTATGAGTAGCTGAGTTTCCACTCTCATTTATCAGGTATGTATAAGAAAGTAATC